GTGTTACCTGCATTTACTGCTTAGCTGAAGGGCAACTGCCTGCACATTACGTTACAAATCCAATCAATATACCACTGCAGAAGCTAGAGAGAGAGAGAGACAGCACCGTCAGCTCTCACCACAGAGGAGAGGAACAGATGGAATAAAAAGCAGGAAGAAATTCACAAGGGCATTCTGCCCCGTAAAACGTATAACTCACAAACACAAAAACAAACATGTCTTCAGAGAGCTGAAGCTGTCCGTGGCACCTTCGACATCGCCACTGGTGTGCTCCAGGAGGCTGGGCAAAGTAAGTCCTGGCTCCCTGAGTGACGCATTCCAATCCGCCGGCTGAAGAAATGCGTGTTTACACACGAGACATCACGCAGAATGGGGTCAGCAACACCCCAGATCTAATCTTCACCGGGCGATAAGCCATTTGCCCTTCAAAATCAAAACGAGCAGGCTCAGTATTTTCTAAGTCCCCAGCATTTGGTTGGTTTGCTCTCCTGTGTGGAGCTTTGCACCCTCAGCCCACGTGACATGTGTGTTGTCTCAGGGTGGGGTCAGCACTAGGAGACTATTCTCACCCAGGAACAGAGAGAACGGCTGCTGGGTAAGCCCTCAAACTCTGGCCAAGACACTCGGATAAGCTCCGGACACGGACCAGTCATGCTTTAAAGCAAGATTTTAAAAACCTTTGTTTCTGCAGAAAACTGTTGGTTTGACTCCAGTAGGTGTGCTACAGGGGTTTTATGGGATTATCTACGTTTTTTGCACTTTAAGTTTGTATCAGCAAACATGCCTGCCTTTTTTCTTCATCTGGCCCAGAATCATAGCCAGTTTATAATGGCAAAATAAGATGTTGTCATTTAATTGGTGAGAAATATTCTAATTTGTTTTCTCTAACCTTGAAAAAGAGCAATAGAGATAAATGTTATTATAGTCCCTAAAAATTCCTAAAACTCCTAACCTTTCAACCCTAATAGTTACTTGCTTATTATTACTCTATTACCCTCAATGAGAATTTTCAAAAAGTGTGTAGATTATTCCATTATCTGCCATTTAAAACCTTGTCTTTATAATAATTTCTGAAAATTGTTCTTCATATAAATGATCCACTATTTTAAAGCATTTGACAAACTTGGTCATTTTTTATTATTATTGATATATTTCAGAAAGGAAGGAAAAGGGAGAGAGAGAAATATCAACGATGAGAGCGAATCATTGGTCAGCTGCCTCCTGCATGTCCCCCACTGGGGATCGAGCCCACTACCTGGGCATGTGCCCTGACGAGGAATCAAACTGTGACCTCAAACCGTGGATGCTCAACCACTGAGCTACCGAGGCCGGACTTAAGTCATCTTTTTAAAATTAGACCTACAGATAGTTTTATAAGGCCCTCCAGACTTGCTCATTATTAATAGCTAGTGTCAGTTCTTCCAGCACTTTGGAAACCTTTGATCTCTGCATTGGTAGTGTTCTTTACTAGGAAAGTATGCTTCCATAGTTAGCAAGAAACTTGCTAGCGACACTATCAATACTACAACTGCCTTAAAAATGAAGATCTCAAATGATCTTTTTGGAAACAAGATGCTGTAAGTCAGGAAATGGGATTATTTTGTAATTTCTTCCTGAGTCTATTTTCCAGCTTCTTGCATACTTAGGAAGAAAACTATAAACTTCTAAGACTACAAAGCTCCATAGCAGTTGTCTCTCAGAAGGATACATAGCACAGTAAGCAGCAAAGTCAACATAAGTAGCAATAAATTATAGGCAAGCTCATTCCTTCAAAGGACAACAGTAATATTCAACTACAAAGCTTTCTTTTATTTGTGATTTTTTTTTAGCTTCTGAGTTAAACATGGTCAGTCAGGTATGGCACATAGAGAAGACAGAAAAAAACCCCAACTTAAATCAAAGAGAAGAATTTCATTATAAATCGAATAGCCACAAACAATTACACCCCTACCAAAATAGTCTACTTGCCTTATTGGGTCAATGGTCATTTTTCTAATATTTTCATCAGTTATTTTATAGGTTCCAGTATCCTGTGGTACCTAAAGTTAAAAATCCCTATCAATTACAGTAAGTAGTCAACAAAATACTCTTGCAAATTAACTGCCAGCCCATTTGTTTCTACGAAAGTGCAATTTATGAAAATAAAGTTCTTTTTATACAAGCTAAGCCTGGGTCTGGAAAGAAAATATAGCTGGCAAGGCAGGTAAAAACACCACTTACTGACATCTACACACTTGATTAAAAGTTAAACACGGTGATTAACAAAATCGAGAGTAGAAGCTGGAAAGGAGAATATATGCTTTCCACAAAGACTGTGTTTGGACACTGAAACAATAGTTTAACACTTGGAGTGCAGGAAACGAGTTAAGTCGGCTCGCGTGAATTGTACTCCGCGGGAGCCGTCTTTAACTCGGTTCATATAGATTTGCGGTGGAGTGCGGGAAACGTGTAAACTCGGGCCGATTGTAACTGCGTATTACCAAATATTTGTTTGTAATCCACCCTTTTGGTGGATGGAACAAAACCAAAAGACAGAGCCATCTTATATTTTGGCGGGAAATTCACCCGCACTCCAAGTGTTAAGTGCTTTTATTTCAGTCACAGGCCTGTTATGGCTATTTAGAAACAGAAAGGGAATATAATATTGCCCAGCATGTAGTTAAAGAGTATAAAGGATTAAAGAAACCATCACAACACAACTTGTCTCTTCCAAAGGAAAAACGTCAATTAGCACCACATTAAGGAGCTTAAGCTTCTTTTTATCTGTCTAGGAGCTTCAACTCTGCTCACCAGTATCTTTCATCTCATTTGCTTTACTCTGACCAAAGGCACTGGAGAGCTTTCCTAAGAGCACAGGGTGACGTTACAGCCACTCTATTTGCTGACAGAGAAAACGTGTGCTTGTCCGGTTGCCAGAGGATCTGACTCAGAAGGGCCCAAACACATACAAATAAACAGACACCACAACTAATACAGGCGAGACCGCCTGGCCAGCCCCTACATCACTGTACCAAACTTCCTGCAAACTTCAAATTCCTATTTTGTCCCTGAGCGACATGGTGACAGCTGGTAGGCTTTCTGCTTAGAACCTTGTGCCTGTCCTCCCACTGCTGGGAGGTCCCAACGAAAGGTCACCTGGGGCCTAAGAGAGACACAAGCTTCCTTTTGAAGCTTAGAACATTTTAGACTCCCTGGGGTCTGGCCATTCCGTACGCTCTCCTCATCACTGATGGTCCCTGGACGAGGAAGCAGCAGGCTCTTTTATCATCTTTATTTGGCTAAGGACCCGTGTGGTTTTTGTTACGGGTGCTTTGGGACATCCGGGTCCAAAATGGTGGCAGAATCAGTACGTTACTTTGGGCTCTGAAGGCTACGGCTTTAGAATCCCAGGAGCCTGGTTGTCTAGAGCTTTACTCAACACATACAGATTTTTTAAAAATTCAATGTATTGGGGTGACACTGGTTAATAAAATTATATAGGTTTCAGATGTACAATTCTATAACACATCATCTGTATGTTGTATTATGTGTTCACCACCCCAAGTCAAGTACCCTTCCATCACCATTTATCCCCCATACCTCTCCTACCTCCCCCACCCCCCTTCCCCTCTAGTCATCACCACACTGTTGTCTGTGTCTAAAGCTATTTTTTAAATAGCAAATGATCAATGGAAAGGCTCATGGAAGAAAGGTATTTTAAGGAGAGCTATAAAGGCAAAAGACAGTTACTTTATAAAAGCTAGAACATTTTCAGAGAAGGAAGGACAGCTAGAAAATGAGAGGAGCTTGAGAAACGAATAATTATAATAATAGTCCTAACATTACTGAGCTCTACTGTAATGTCTCTATGCTTCCCACAGACTATCCCATTCAATATTCGTAATGGCCTTTTAGGGTGGTCAGGACTAACATCCACGTTTTGAAGATGAGGCAAGGATGTTTAGAGAAGTCAAGTAGTTGGCACAGGGCCTCACAGGGAGGAACTAAAATCCTTTGCTGAATAAGCCACGTAAATTTTTGGTGTGAAACTTGAAGTAACACTGCCTGGCCTTGAACTCAAATCTGTAGTGGCACAGCAGTGGGCCAGCGTTCCCACCCAGCCCTTTACAACCAAGGTTATGAAAGGAGGGAGACCTAAGGAAAGCTAGAGTCAGATCTCTGAAGAGGAACACAGAAATAATCGGAATTTAACTAAGACCATGTCTTAGCCCGTAGACATAGGACCGAAAGCAGGGAAAGAACAGGGTGACAATTCTGTAGCATTGCCACTTGGGTACAGCCGCCAAGGGACACGATGGCAAGATGACCCATCTGAGAGCCACCGAGCACCACATCCAGTGAATCACTCCATGCTTCCATCAGGAACCCTTCCATGTTGTTGTCTAAATCCAGATTCCAGTTAATACAATTAACATCATTATTGATTATGTACGTGTAAAGACGATGCCACTACACCACTACCATCCTTAGAACGCATGCTTGGTTCTGTTTCTTAGGAAAGGTTTGTCCTAAACCTTCTAGCTGTTTTCCATAAACAACTATAGCAATTAATTATTTTCTACTTCCAAAGAGAAACAATGACTTCAATGTACTTGGATCCAATTAGGCAAATTCATCCTCTGACCCTGAATTTCATATTTTGTATTCCTACTAAGGAAAAACAACACATTGTCTTTAGGCTGTTAAACTGATGATTTGTTCTACCGGTATGCATGCATCATGGGAAAAAGAAAACACTAAGCACTTGGACTGTTTGCCCCTGAAATGACCTTTGTTCAGACTCCCTAATGCCAAGGACACGTGATGACCATGTCATAGCAATCGACCTTCTCCCCTTTAGACTTCAGAGTGACCCACCAAAGATGCCGGAATCAGATTAGAACAATATTTATTGCTCTGTTGAATGTGAAGGAAGAGCCCTCTTTGCTGGTGAGGTTACCAAGATTATTTGTTACCTTTTGACAGTTTTTAGAAGCTAGGCAGAGAGAGTAGCTACTCACATTCTCCTTGTCAGGAATCCCTAGAAGAGAAAAAGGAGAGAGAGACCATGAGTTGTAAGATCAACCTGTAAAATGGAACTGAAATCCCTTGCTGACTCAAACCAAGTAAAACTTTGGTATTTAAAACAACAACAACTACATAGCCTGCTTAGGAGAAGACCAGCACCTATCAAATCTGTAATATAAATAAATCAGCGAATCAGGAGCAGGACTGAGTGCCGGACAACACGGTCTCATGCTGATGTTGCGTCTCTACCACATGCTTTACTTTCCCAGAGGCAAAATGTATCCCTGAGTCAGTTACACCATGTGAGCTCCTAATTCCTCTGTCTTGGGCACCAGAACACTCAGAATGTTAGACAGAGACATCAAGTGTAAGTGGCACGTTTGTACTTTTACATTTCAAACCACCTCACACTGCTCTGGGGATTCGAACCTCGGGGCAGGCTGCACATGAAACCCACCGGAACACAGCTTCCACTGGGGCAAAGCAAACTCCTGTTTGCCTCCAAGTCAGGGCTGAGCAGGGCAGTGGCTGTTTCCAGGGATATCTCAGTTTTCTGAGCAAAGAGTTAAATATTCATCCATTCGCTTCTTTGTTTATTCATTGACAACATTTCGTGAGCATCTGCTATCGGCAGGCCCCGGTCCTCTGCACTTTCTCGGGGCTGCTGCTCTGACAGACACGGTGGGTAAGAGTGGCCACACTGGAAGGTCACAGCCCCAACAGAGCTTGGTGCCCCCAGGACAGGGGCACAGTGGGCCTTATGTTGAGGAGACAGAAGTACAGGTGGTTTTCACAGGTGACCGCACCACGGGGGCGGTGTGAGGTGGTTTGCAATGTTAAAATATAGTATGTCCAAATTCCGAGAAAACAGAACTTTCTGTGTTTAATATAGGACTACGCTGATTTAAAATATTGGCATGAAGAGAACTGAGTCATAATGGGCAGCAACACAGAACACAGGAGAGGTAAGAATGGAAGAGATGGTTTGGAAACATTCCCTAATCAAACTTTGGCTCCCAAACTGGGAGCACACCAGGATATAAACAGAGAAGACTAATGGGCAGGTTTGCCATCACTTCCCAGATCGGTCAGAAGTAAGGGTGGCCTAATGTCAGCACTCTGAAACGCCTCCCGAATCCACCCACCCAACCGCCCAGCCAGCCAGCCAGCCACCCATTCATTCAACAACGGCTTGAAAGGACTGGAGCTGCTTGAATGGGGAGATACAGGGGTTGGCGGAAGCTCACTTTCTAGGAGGTTTAATAAGACAAATACACAGTTGCACAAATCACCATAACTGAGTGGCCAGAAAGTAGGGTCTTTGTGGAGAAATGATACTTAACGGGTGACTTGGGACCCTGCAGGAACTTGGGAGTTGGGTTAAGACATTAGCAGTCTTGGAATTCACCTTCCATGGCGAGTGATGGACAATCACTCAATGGTTTTGAGCAACAGAGTGATTCTGAACAGGATAAAGAAGGGAAAGGACTGTTCATAATTAACTGACGCTTAAGACATAAAAACAAGATTCAATGGCAGGCTCCTTGATTGAGGTCATCTCCTGTGTGGACATTTGGGCTCTGCAGATGCTCGGAGTGGAAGTGCTGCCTGCTCCGTCACAGCTTCAAACCCCAGCACTTGGTACCTTGTCACATGTGAATGTGCAGGAGCCAAGTAAGGGAGCTTAGAGATGCAACAAGCATCTTCCAGGGACAGTAACGAGTGCTAAACAGATGCTCCTGGCATGCACACACAGATAGACAGATAAACAGATTCAGGACACGGGGTTCCTTTGAGTCTAGTGCAGTGATGGCGAACCTATGACACACGTGTCAGAGGTGACATGCGAACTCATTTTTTTGGTTGATTTTTCTTTGTTAAATGGCATTTAAATATATAAAATAAATATCAAAAATATAAGTCTTTGTTTTACTATGGTTGCAAATATCAAAAAATTTCTATATGTGACTTGGCACCAGAGTTAAGTTAGGGTTTTTCAAAATGCTGACACGCCGAGCTCAAAAGGTTCGCCATCACTGGTCTAGTGGGCACCCCCTAGAAAATCAGATCACAGAGAAAAACTTCCTTCCTTTTATGAGCAGGCAGGGACTGGTCTCTTATGAAAGGTCTGGAGTTTGGAGAGGTTGTGATTTAAGACTAGGAAGGACTCATGCTGTTTCCTTGATTAATAACATCAACATGAGCAAGAGGTGGGGCTCTTGGGTGTGTAGTTCATGAATCCTATTTTTAAAAGAGCACAGAAACAACACTGGATTTTGCTCTAAAATGAAGCGATTCTGAGAAAGCATTCTAAGTATGCTGAAGTTCCAGGGCATCAGCTAAAGCCATAACATAATCCTGTATTAACAATTTAAAGAATAACCCATGTGGGCTGGCAGGTCTGTTTATCCACAAGAGTCTGGAAACAGAATCTGCCACACTGGTGAAGGACATATTTTTTGTCACACGAAAACACACACCACACGCTACATTTTTAGATGCAAAATGTTCACATGTTTCACTTACTGTCATTGTTGGAGCCCGTTTCCATAACACCATAAGGAGGAGCCAGAAGTCCTGCCATGTACTGTCGATATTTCTGAAAGACAAGATTGTAAACTCAATGCACAGATACTTACTCACTTGGAGCATTCATTTATTTACATGTTGAAAAGCAGAAACATCAGTCATCAGGGAACATCTGAGTCTTGTATTTATGGAGCCTGAAATGTGCTGCCTGGGATTCGTGGCCTAAAACAAGGATGCTGTGTTCTAAAGAGGCCTTCCCGGATACGGCTGAGCGTGCCCCCACCAGGGAGGGGGTCCCATCCCAGTTCATTTATGTATTTGTGACTAAGTATCCAAATTGTGTGGGTCTTTACCCTCCCTCCACCTCCTGCCCTGCTTCTCACTCCGGCAAACACACGTTTCGGTGGAAAAGAAAGACACTTGGTTTTTACAGGTGCAGATACAATTAAGTAGGTGATTGACACTGAATCTTCTTTCGTTCAAAGCAAAGAAGAAAGGCTTCCCTGGAAAAGGTCTGTGTTGAAAGAAGCCGATTTGCTTCCATTTACCCACTTCCTTTCACATCGTCCACCTGCCCGTTTTGTGACCTCCCAGGAACTGTTGGTATGTTATCAAATAGAACTGCCTGGATTCCCCTGAATTGTATCCCCCTGACTTGTGGTCCAGGCAACGTGGGGCTGGGGCATATATAGTGGCCCTCAAGGTCTGCCCTGTTTTGAAGGGAGAAGGCTTGGAGAGCATAAAGCAATCTAGAGCATCCTACGAGAGAGAAGTGGCATTTACGAAGAATGGAAAATGATTATTAGACATCCTCTCTTGTCAGGTAATAATACAGTCCCCCCCCCCCCCGAGAGAAAGCTGGGCGATTTTAGCTATCGCATGGTGTCATGTATATTTATGGTTTCTAATTACGATGACACAAATGTTAAACAGCATCAAAAGAATCAACCCTCTATAATGTGCTGGGGGGTTACACAAACGTCAGCAGAAAAGACTTCATCTGTAGCAATGGGAGGCTGGCAACACGCAATGTTCGAGCAACCATCTGGCCCATTGGGTATATCTGAATGGTGTTTGTAATGTAACATTGACGATTTCTCAAAAGAGCCTTCTTCCAGTCAAGATGTGACTAGTTTTTATTTCTTAATCCATTTTCGCTCTCATTCTGAGGCAACTATACCAACACCTGCATGCAAACATTAAAAACCATGAATTCCTCTGCCTCTGAGTTCAGGAATCACTCACACATGCTCACGGGACCAATCTTGCACCCTGAATTCCTGACACTTCCTTTGATAACTTCCCAATTCTGATTCCCTTCTTTCTGATGACACTATCTACTCTTAGTCCTCACTAGAGAGCATTGATTAAACTCGTTTCTCAGCATGATATGATGCTGGACCCAGAACAAAACGGGCTCAAAAGGAGGAGATGGGGGATGGGGATATGTTCTAAGAAGGTTTTGTGACACCTCCACCCCCGCCCCAACACACACACACACACACACACACACACACACACAGCCTTTTGAGTTATCCCTCTGTTACAACTCCCTACTGGGCTCCTAAAAGAAATCATTCATGTTAAAGTAAGGGAGCAATTTTGCTTTGCTTAGAAATGTTTTGATGCAGGAGATGTTCTTTGTCTCGGGCACCTCAATGTCAATTCTCATGAACTCCACGGAAGCACCTTCCTGACCCCTGAATGAATGGGACTTCGTCTTCCTCCAACTCCATAGCACGTGGTCTGCAGCTCCTGGGAACAGAAACTAGAGGAGCCTCTGGGAGCCAGAGTGTGAGCTGGAGCTCAGGATATATTGAGCACCTACTACATGCAGTGTTCTAGGTCCTGGGCTCACTGCAGAGAACAAACTGACAGGCCCCTTGAACTTGTGAAGTACTGTCTCCTGTAACATAGGGTACCATGGCTTGCACATAACACAAACTTATCACTTATCTGTTGAATTTTAGAATATTTATGGAAAATTTCAAACAGATAAAAAACAGAATACCACATACTTAACATTCAGGCTCAATAATTATTAACTTATGATCAATGTTATTTAATCTACACCGCTATCACTTGCCCCTTCCAGAATTATTTTGAAGCAAGTCCCAGATATCTCATGTAATCCATAAATATTTCAGTATGAATCGCTAAAAGTCTTTTTTTCCCTAAAGAAAACCACAATACCACTATCACAATTAAGAAATGTAGTATCTCCATAATACCCAGTTAATATTCAAATTTCTGTTTCATAAATGTCACAGCTGAATTGAATTTAAAAAGTACTATATCTGATAAGACAACATTGTTTGCAATATAACAACTTTGGGTGTAGTGGAGATTGCAAAACCAGGATTGAAATATTTAGGTCTATAAATAAAAAAGTCTACCTTTTAAAATTGATGGGGCACGTTTTAATAAACATTCGCTAAAGCAGGAAACTGATTCCTCATGTAGCACCCTGCAGCACACCCTATATTCATTAGGATAAAAACAGCTAACTGGCATAAAAGCTATGCCAGAAAATTGGAATTTCTATGTTATTTGCATATTGCTTGATCTTTAGGCAGCAGTTCATCTTCAAGCACCAGTTAAAAGGCGGCCTATAAAGGAACATATCAAATGAAAAGATGCCAAACCTTACCCATGACAGAAAGGCACATTAGCACTATAGTGCAATATCCTGTTTTACTAGTCAGATTTGGAGAAGTTTTGAAACATTGGCTAAACACATTATTAGTGAGAGTGGGGAAAACAGGTTCTCTCATATATTGCTTATTGGAGTAGAAAATGATAGAATCTTAGTGGAAGGCAATTGGAAGTATCTGTCATATTTTAAAATGTATATTTCCTTTGATTGAGCAAGAAACCTCCCTTAGAGGGCAGAAGTAGAGCCGCCTGAATACAAATGCAAACACGCCTATCTGTTTGTAATCCTATATAATAAAAGGCTAATATGCAAATTGACTGAATGGCAGAATAGGTCGCTATGACACGCATTGACTACCAAGGGGCAGACGCTCACGGCAGGGGCTGCTTCCTGGTGGTCAGTGCGCTCCCACAGGGGGAGTGCCACTCAGCCAGAAGTTGGGCTCATGGCCGGTGAGTGCAGCAGTGGTGGCGGTAGCCTCTCCTGCCTCCATGGCAGCACTAAGGATGTCCAACTGACGGCTTGGGCCCACTCTCTTGAGGGCTCCCAGACTGCGAGAGGGCACAGGCCAGGCTGAGGGACACCTCCACCCCCCAAGTGCATGAATTTCGTGCACCAAGCCTGTAGTAGCAAATAAAAACACAAGCAGGAAATAACCAAAATGTCCACAAAGGAAATGACATTCGGGTTATTTCTTGAGAAGCAGACGAAGATGGGTTGGTTCTTGATAGATGATGTTGGAATATTATACAGCCATGAAAAAGAACGAAGCACCACTATGTGTGCTGAGGTGGAATGAGTTCTACAATATATTGTTACATTTTTGAAAAGCAAACTACAGCACTGTGTGTAGAGTATGCTACCATTCTGTGGAGATAAGAGAATAGATGTGTGTTTGTGAACATCCATAAAGACCTATAAATGCACAAGCGAATATACAAGAAAGTAGTAACAATGACTGCCTCTGAGAAAGAGATCTGGGTGGCTGAGGGTCCAGTGGGAGAGAGACTCAGTTTTCACTGTTCGTCCTTGGCTGAGCCAACACTGAGGCAGTGGGATCACCCACAGTGACTGTCTGCCCAGAGGCTGGATGGTGGGGTTGACCTGCAGTGCCCTGCAGTGTCAGTCACCTCAACGGTGCCTGGCAGCGAGGGATCATGGCAGCAGGAGAATGGGAAGACAGCTCTTCTCTCTTAGTTTAACATGTGGAAGTGGGAATAATTCCCTTCAACTATAAAATCCTCCAGAGACGGGGAAATTGGGGAGTTAGATACTAGGCTTCCTTATAATAGGGCTTATTGGTACTGAAGTGATGAATTGAAAAATGAGAGTTGACTGTATTAGTAAATCTAAACCATGGAGTTTAAAACCCATAGAAGTTTAAAAGCCACTTCAAGCTTCCCAAGAACCAGAATAAAACTAAAGGGAATTAACCAAGGCCATGATTGAGGCCCCCACATGAAAATCAACACAAGGCCAGCCTAAGTCTGAGGTCAGCAGTTTTTCAAAGGTGACCCAGCACATTTTTTATGGTGGTTACTCAATGTCACCCCTACACATCACCCCCACCCCAGGCACTGGGGTGTGTATTGGCCTGGCTGAGTCCCTTGATAATGTCCTCTTTGGGGGCCCTGATTGATGTTCACTTGCAAGCCTTTCCCTGGATTCCAACACACTCTAACACCTCAATAGCTTCCATGGCCTAACTCAATCTTTCTTAATTGCCATACGCACTGAGAAAGAGCTATGCCTTTAACGGACACTGATCCACACATGGAAGGCCCCTGGCTGGAGGACTCCTACTCCCTAACCCTCCAGGACCTCTGAGGGCAGTTAGGAAACAGTATTCCCAGGACAGGAAAACCACAAGGGCTTCAAGGCCCTTGGAAGAGTTTGCTAGGCCTCATTCTTAGGATCTACTCTGGGCTTTGCCACTAATCAGCTGAGTCACCTCCAACACGTCCTCCAAGCTCCCTGGCTTCAGTCTCTGAATTTGATCCAGGGTTTTGAAACCTTGTTCTTCAGCAGAACCCCAAATTCCCTCAGGCAAGGGCCCCTATGGCAACTAGAGCATTTTCACTTTTATTTGTTTCATAGAATCCCAAGAACAATTTCATTTGAAAGATGACTTATGCTTTTTAAAAAATAAAAGTTTATAAACCACAAGATTAAATAATCTTTAAACTTCCAGCCAGACAAAGGTCACTCAAAGATCTCTATAAACAATCAACAAAGACCAATTTAGGATTTCCTTAGGAAGTAAATTATTAGCGGCTCTATTCTCTGTTAGGAAGACATCTATGGTTGTGGATTGGCCAAGTGAAGCTTGTTTCATACCTGAAAGGTTTGTCCAAAAACCACGGGTACTAAGGCTTTACCTGAGATGCACCCCAGTGCTCACCTTCTCGCACTGA